GTCTAGGTAACTCAGGTACTGGGCGGAGACTTTGCTATGAGGAGGGTGGAGTCTGCTCACCATCCAGGGGTGGACCTTACATTGAGTAGCTATGATTATAGTTATGAGCCACCGGCACCCGGACAGCTTCATATAGAGAATAAAAAAAACAGCATATGATAAAATAGTATATTTATATAGATGACTAAATTTTTGGGCTGGGATGTAGCTCAGTGGCAAAGCGCTTACCTAGATGACTAAATTTTAAATTAGTAAATGTAGTAAAAAAAAATGTGTGGAAATGTAACAGTGAAATCCTCCTCTGTATAACTAAAGTAATTGTAAGAATGCTAAAATTAAGTAAGTAAAAAAAAAAAATTCAAGGGTTGGGAAGGTGGCTCAGTGGTAGAGCGCTTGCCTTGCATGCATGAGGCCCTGGGTTCGATTCCTCAGCACCACATAAGCAAAAAGAAAAAAAAGCCGGAAGTGGCGCGGTGGCTCAAGTGGTAGAGCACTAGCCTTGAATTGAAGAGCTGAGGGACAGCGCCCAGGCCCAGAGTTCAGGCCCCATGACCGGACCCCCCCCCCAAAAAAAAATTCAAGCCAGGTGCTGGTGGCACATGCTTGTAATCCTAGGTACTGAGGAGGCTGGGATCTGAGGATTGTGGTTCAAAGCCAGCCCAGGCAAGAAAGTCTGTGAAAGTCTTATCTCCAATAAACCACCAGAAAACTGGAAGTGGCACTGTAGCTCAAGTGGTAGAGTGCTAGCCTTGAGCTGCAGAGCTGAGGGACAGCGCTCAAGCCCAGAGTTCAAGGCCCACAACCGAACAACAAAAAAAAAAATTCAAAAGGCACAGTAGTTAATAATGTTTAAGCAAAGAAAATAAGGCTTAATATGGAAAACAAAGAAGATGGCTACTCTACAAGTGATATATCCTCAACAGGAAGGAGAGTGAGAAGAAGGCAATGTCCCATCTATGTTTAAAATATGGTGGCCACAACTTGCCCCATTGTCCTTCCTCTTACAGCTATTATAGGTCTTAGTCACAAGGTTATAGCTAGCTAGCTAGCTGCAAGGGAGACTAAAAAATACCTGTCTTACTTCTTGGTGGCCACACATTCACATATACAATGAAGACATTCCATCATTTAAAATGTGAAGATTCCACTAGTAGGAAGAAATAGGATATTGAAGGGCAGTCAGCTGTCAATAGCATTCACTCTATTGGACTCTCTCTACATGAGAACACATTAGGTATTCTTCTGAAATTAAATCAAATTAATTAAGTCTCAGTGTGAAATATGAATAGATTTCCTGGCGCTCATAGTATAGGGAAAATAGTCATTAATAAAAATTATATTCCAAACCAGGTTCTACTACTTCAAGAATATCAGACCCCAGGGAATTACCTGTACATGTAGCATGAATAGTTGTAATTATGACTTTTAGAAATGAAAGACTGAGAATTTTTCATGAGCCATTGAATGAAAACAAGATGTTGATTCCTATTACTTTCAGTGTGTGAAGTATTAATTTTGTGTATATGAACATAAACATTTAAATCAAAATTATATTTCTATAGATTTTTCCATCATAGAAGTGTTTTCTGGAGCAAATTTCATTATGCCAATTTAATGTCATGATCAATTAGCAGTTAATTTCTTTTTCTACTTTACTAAAATTATTTGCTCAAGAATCAGCTAAAGTTCTTTTAACAAGTAAACATATTTAATTTTTAAATTATTTAATTTATTCAAATTTAAATTATGTATCAGTATTATTCTTTCTATTCATGAAAAACTGTACCCATTATGGTATTTGACATTAGGATCTCATTTCTTTCTTTTTTTTTTCTTTTGGGGGGTCCAGTCATGGGGTCTGAACTCTGGGCCTGGGCACTGTCCCTCAGCTCTTCAGCTCAAGGCTAGCGCTCTACCACTTGAGCCACAGTGCCACCAGTTTTTTTCTTTTTGTTTATGTGATGCTGAGGAATCGAACCCAGGGCCTCATGCATGCAAGGCAAGTGCTCTACCACTGAGCCACCTTCCCAGCCCAGGATCTCATTTCTGTGTTTAATTAAACAATGTATTTTTTTCTGTTCCAACATTTTTAGTTCTAAATTTTTTCAAATTTGATTTTTCTATTATGTAAGTGCTAGATGAGTAGGATAAAGATTGATTGGACTATTATATGAAGGAGAAAGAAACAGATTTTGGATGATCTTGGATTTTAAGTTGAGTAATTAGGAGAATATTGATGACATTAACTCAAAATATATGAAGTGAGAGTAGAGGATGAGTTTAGCTTTCTAAATACTAACTGGACATCTAAGTGTAATTGGAGTATTTTAATTGGAGTATTTAAGGAAATTTAAACATAGATTTAGGTGAAAAGATTGACTTGGAGTTTTCAGCTTCTAGGTAATAGTCTCAAGAGAATGGATCTACCTCACTGGGAAAATACCATTCTTAGGATGCAAACTTGCAACTTACAGGCTTGATTTGGCCAACAGAAGTATTTTGTTTGACCTACAACAAAGATGTAATGAAATTTGAGTTCTTAGCTGGGCACTGGTGGCTCATGCCTATAATCAATTCTAGTTACTCAGGAGGCTAAGATCTGAGGATCAAGGTTTGGGCCAGCTCGAGATAGTAGGAGTTTATGAAATTCTTACCTTTCATTAGCCACCAAAAAGCTGGAAGTAAAAATTTATTTCAAGTGATAAAGTTCCAGCCTTGAGCAAAAAGCTAAGATACAGAATCCAGGCCTTAAATTTAAGCTCAAATAGTGCACATACACACAAAAAAATCAGATATTTCCTGACCAATGTTTAAAATTTAGAAGAGTTCATGGAAAGCTCTTTATATTCATTTCTCTTTAAAATCAAGAGGACCAAATATGAGGGGTCTACTATTCTTATTTGGCAAAAATGAGCTAACCAAATAGGGAAAGAGAGCTCTAGTTCTTCACTTTCTCTATCCTTAGGCTTTATTCATTTATAAGAACTACATGGCTGATGAACCTTGGAATCTGTGGCCTCTTAACTCAGCATAATTGATTAAGAGGGTGAGGGTAAAGGCTTAAGGAAAAAAGGAAATAAGGATTCACATGATGAAAACAGTGGAGAGGTGTCCAGAGAGGTAAGAGAAACTGGAGAGCTTGGTAACGAGACAAAGGAATCAAGAGTTGGAAGGACGTTGAATAAATCTTGTTTCCACTGTATTATCTAGCATTTATGAGTCATTTTGACACATTTTTCCACTTGTCATATTTTACCTAACCCATCTTTACTTCTGTCACATATACTTCCAAATTACTTTTCGAATTTGTCAATTTCTGCAGGGTGTAAGGGTAAAAACCTGTAATTCCAATACTTAGGAATCTGAGGTAGAAGAATTATGAACTTGAGGGCCAGTCTAAGCCACCTAGTGAGTTCTAAGTCAGCCTGGGATAAATAGTAAAGTTCTGTCTAGAAAAAAAACCCTATCCATTTTCCCATTATATTTTAACTGATCTTAACTCTTCTTTCTATATCCCTTCCTCATCTACCAATGAATCCCATATATACACAGCAGCCAGCAGGTGTTTATATAAAATTAGATCTCGTCATTCAGTCTTCAATAGCTTCCTATCACTTCTGAAATAGAATCCATTCACCCTACAATGGCCCAGAAAGGCCCTGCTTTTGGTGTTTTCTGTGCTTTTCTGGTCACATCCGCTGCTCTTCCCTGTAACCTACTTTCCCAAGGATACCACATGCTGCCTCCTTCTCACACTTATACTCATATGTCTTTCTCTTGGCTACTCCTCCTTTAGAGCTTCACCAAGATGGCTTCTCTCTTCAGTGAGCACTTGACCTGGCAGAGTAAAGGGGCTGCCCAACTTCCTTTAGTTTCTCAGCAACTTACTCCACTTCTGCACATTAATATACAGAGCACCAATAGTTGCTGTTATTATTCAACAAGCTTGAACTCAAAGCCTGGGCACTGACCTTTAGCTTTTTCACTCAAGTTAGTGTTCTACCACTTGAGCCACAGCTCCACTTCTGGTTTTTTTGGTGGTTAATTGGAGATAAGAGTCTCACAGACTTTTCTTCCAAGGCTGGTTTCAAACCAATCCTCAGATTTTAGTCTCCTGGCTAGCTAGGATTACAAGCATGAGCCACCAGAACCTGACTAGGGTTTACTTTTTTCAACTAGCAAATAGTTCCCATGAAAGTAGGCACAGTGTCTGCCTTGACCATCATTGTATTCCCAGATTGTGGGACAATGCTTGCTAGGCACATAGACCTGAATAAATTGCAGTGGACTCAATGAACAGATTAAACTACAGACATATGCAGAGGAGGCAGAGAAGACTAAGAAAGACTTTTTGTGTGTGTGCTACTGAGGTTTGAACACAAGGCCTTGTTCTTGCCACTCAGGTGCTCTACAAATTGAGACATCAAAGTAGGGGTGAAAGGGTGTGAAATGGATCCACGATAATTGATGAGGGGGTTGTGTTAGGAAAGATGGTGTGAAAGGATGACCTTGCATTGTACTCATAAACTGATGTTGAACTGCAACCCCTTTGTACAACTACTTGAAGATACTATAAACAGTGTACGTGGAGGCTGGGAAGGTGGCTCAGTGGTAGAGTGCTTGCCTTGCATGCCTGAGGCCCTGGGTTCGATTCCTCAGCACCTCATAAACAGAAAAAGCCGGAAGTGACGCTGTGGCTCAAGTGGTAGAGAGCTAGTCTTGAGCAAAGGAAACTCAGGGACAGTGACTAATCCCTGAGTTCAAGCCCCAGGACCGGCAAAAATAGTGTACATTTGTAATTCAATAACTATTGGGGGGGGGGAGCCTAAGTAGTAGTAGTTGGGCACCAGAACAGGGCTCGGTGACCCCAAGCAAGCCAAGTGTTCAGCTCCAGGGTCTAGTCAGCTCCGCGCCTGCGCAGACCTACCTCGGAGGAAGGCGGGCCGGGAGCATTGCGGCCGCTGGCGCGCATGAATGACGTCACGCGCGCGCGTGCCTGGGTAGCCCGTAGTAACCCGGAGTCTGCGGAAGTGGAGACTGGAGGGCAGGCGGCTGAGACAGGTAACCTGTTCGTTCCGTGTTGGGTCGCTGCCTTCCTCTCCAAAGCGTTCCCGTTCGGAAGGCCCGCTTTTACCCCCATCTTCATCAGTGGCGACTCCATTCCCTCCTCAGTGCTCTCTGACCGCGGCGGAAACCTATCCCGAGGACTTGTCGCCTCCTCGGCTCTCGGGATGGCGCGGGGATTTGTCTCCTCTCCTGGGGGGGGGGGGGGGGGGCCAAGACCCGGCCTAGGCCTCTGTTTACCGCCTCCTCCTCCTGTTCCGGGCAGGCCCTCCTCGCCAGCGCGTCCCCGCTCCTAGCCCCGCAGCAGCGCGTCTCCTCTGTCTGGTTTAACAAGCAAAAATAGTTTCAGATTCTGCCGATTTCACCGGTCCCCGCCCCCGAGGGTGCTTACCGAGAGCAACAACTTTGGAGATTTGATGTCCCCAGGAAGCACCCGCCCCCCCCGCCCTGCTGGAGTTTATTCATTAATGCATGTATTTGTGGGTGTGTGGTGGTCGTCGTGGTGCTGTGGTCCTATGAACGTCTCTTGAGATTAAAAGATCCACAGGAGAGCCCATACAGCAGTTGAAATGCATGGAACTGTAAATAGCACTTCATTAAAATACTGCTCTTCTCAAGCACTCATGACAAATTTCACTTGCAAAGGTAGCCCTCAAAATGAATGAGTAATAGAACCCTGTAGGAATGCTTAGATTGCTTAAAAAGTAACAATATGACTCATAGGCTTGATTAAAAAAAAATAATATGAGTCTTTACAGAACCAACCAGAGTAGATGTGGGGTAGATGGAATGAAGGACCAGTTCAATTCTTGATCTCTTTTGTGGGGTTTTATTTTGTTTTCTTGTCCTATTAGTACATTCCGTTTTAAAATACAGTATATTGTATTTCATGTAGCTTACCATTGCTTTGGCTTCTTGCAATACTTGAGAAACAAATTAAGATAAGGTAAGTATATAAAGCTGCTTGTTGGCAACTTTGTCTTTTTGGCAACTTTGTTGGACTGTGCCCATTAGTGTATTTTCTCCCTAGTTCACACAACAGCCTAGTGAGTTAGGGGTTGTTGGCCTCAATTTATGGGGTGTGTGTGGAGGAACAGGCTGAGTTATGTGAAACTAATTTGTTGAAAACGCACAGTGATTTAAATTGAGTACTATATATGACTTTAAAGCCTGTACTTTTCTTCCTAGATGCAAGGGAGGCATAGAAAGGGCCACTGGTTGGCCCGAGGCCCCCCCCCCCCCCAAATGGAGCTCCTCTCCACAAAAAGGAAGGAAGGAGGGAAGAAAGAAAGAAGGAAGGAAGGGATGGAAGGAAGGAAGAAAGAGGAAGAAAGAGAAAGAAGGAAGGAAAAGGAAATGATGAAAGCAAGAAAGAAGAAAAAAGAAACTAAAGCAAAAGGGACAGGGGTAACCTCAAGTGGTAGAGCATCTGATTGAAAGACCCTGGGTTCAAACTCCAGGAGAAAAGGAAGGAAGGGAGGGAGAGAGTAAGGGAGGAAAGGAGAGGGAGAGAGAAAGAAAGTAGGGAGAGAGGAAAGAAAGAAACAGAAATAAAAGAGAAGGAAAAGAATTAGGCAAATGGCAATAAAATAGCTCATTAAGTCCTTTTGCTCTGAAGAAGTGAATTTAGGAATGAAAATCATATATTTAGGATGGAAGTTTTGTGTGTGTGTGTTGTGCCATTACTGGAACTTGAACTCATTGCCTCATGCTTTCTTGTGTTTTTACTCACTTGAATAGTGTACTACATTTGAACCACACCCCTAATTCTGGCTTTTTGCTAGTTAATTGGAGATAAGGGTCTCTTGGATTTTTTTCTGTTTGGGCTGGCTTCAATCCTTGCTACTCAGATCTCAGTCTCTTGAGTAGCTAGGATTAGAGACATGACCCACTGAGAGTAGGCCTGAATGGAATTGTTTTAACATACTGCACAAGTTTTTGCCTTCTTAAATGCTGCTAGTTTGTGAACATCACTGTTCTGTTCTGTAATATAATTTCTGCAATTTTTATTAGCATTTGGCCCTCAAACTGAATTTTGAGTTTGCCTCCTGCTTTTTTGGTAATTAATTTCTCATTGTCACAGATAGTAGATCTCATTCTCATTGTCACAGATAGTAGATATTATACTCTATTCCCTTTTTATAGATGAGGAACTAAGACACAGAAATTAAGTAAATTATTAAAATTATGTGCCGGTAGATGGTGAAATTGAGATTTGAATTTGAGCTGTCTTGCTCCAAAGCTAATTTATCTCTAGGTTTTGTCAGTACCAAGATTGCATTATATTTTGTTTAGCCTGTTATGCTTTTCTTCTCTCTTCTGCTTTTATACTGTCTTTAAAACAGTAAGCAATGATTTATGACCTTAGTAAGCAATGGAAGAACAACTGAACCTAAACTGTCAAAAGCGTAACAGGTGCCTCATTTGAATGAGATGGTACCATTAAAGTGGAAGCCAGACTATATTTGCCCAGCTTAGTTTTTAATCTTCTCTGAGAGCCTGGTCTTTGAAATGCAGATCCTGAAACTTTTTGAAGATTTCTTTGTGTGTGTGTGTAAAGAAAAAAATATTACTGTGTTTGACTGTGTATTGCACAATTCAAATGCTCTGAGATCGCTGTTTAGGGGTGAGCTTTTTGTTCATAATATTAGTGACTGTCAGAATGGTTTATGGCACACTCATTTTGCTGCTAACATTACTTTGTGTTGTTTGATTCCTTAAGGAAGTATTTTAAGGAGCAGATATATATACACAATCAATTTCATTATGATTTTTTCTTGGCTTTTTCTTTGCTTACATTTAATTTCTTTGACATTTAAAAGCAAAGGTTTTTTTCAAAAGTAATAACTCAGGATGTACTTGATATGTTTTGGGATCCAAAGAGGCAAGTCAGCCTGCTCCTTTTGGCACCAGCAATGTCTTGTATATGTCACAAGTAATATCTGGTAGGAGAATCGCAGAATAAGTGTTAAGGGGTCAAAGGGCCCTTAGATTTGTATCTTTTCCCCATTGTTAGACAGTTGAAAATTCTCAGGCTTGAGATTTTTAAAGTGATCTGCCTATATTTGTCTCATATCAGAATCCATTCTGTAAAAAGAATTCTGGTGTCTTTGTTATTTGGAATCATACCTCACTATGTTTGTGTAGTGTCCTTGCTTCTAAGAGGAACCTCTAAGCCTTTTACTCATTATGTACTTAATTATAATTCCTATAATAATGTATTCTAGATGAGAGATAAGGTCCTGTATTAGACTGATTGCAGAGAGAATGAACTGATGGGAAGATACAAGAGATAACTTCAATTGACATTACAGAGATTGTTTATATGAGTGAGTGAGAAATCAACCATGATCCCAGGATTCTTCTTGCTTGGGCAGCTGGGTACATGGTGGTGTCATTCACTAGGCAAAGTGTAATTAAAAGAGATCAGGTCTGGGATCTCTGAGATTTGAAGTTCTCCTACATGGATTGCAGTCAAGTAAGATTTGAAGCTAGAACTGCAGGACTCATCTACATCTAAAAAGTGGGAGAAGGAAGAGCCAAAAAAGCAGGAACATATGAGAGAATGAAACCACAAATACTAAGAGAAAAGAGAATATTAAAGATGGTTTGATAATTGTGTTAATGTTCCCAAATTAAGGGCTGACAGAACCTACAGAATTTACTAATTTAGAAAGGACCCAAAGGAGAGCAACAAGATTTGATTGATACTCAGAGTAGAGGTCACAATTAAACGATGAAGTATAAGGGATACTTCTACTTTCCTAGGGAAATGGGGGAAATAAAAGGGAATAGATGCAAACGAGTTTGTGGTATGGTACAAGAATGTGTTGTAGTTCTGGTTTTGATGGTAAAAATTTTTTTTGGATTTGGTGGCACATGCTTGTAATCATAGCTAGGTGGGAGCTTGAGAATGGAGGATTGTGGTCTAGGCCAGAACAAGAAGACAAGCCTTTGACATCCCATCTCTGTGTAAGAAGTTGGACATGCTCCTGTCATCATAGCTATGATGAGAAGCCTAAAATATGGGTATTGCAGTCCAAGCATGTGCCTGGGCAAGAAGAGGAACATTGTCTGGAAAAGAGTGTGAAATAAGGCTGGAAGCATGGCTCAGTGGTAGAGCCTAGCAAACACAAGGTCTAGAATTCTAGCCCCCCTACTATGTCTCTACCCCAAAATAAGATTAAAAAGAAACAAACATTAAAAATAATGTAAAAAGCCTAAGTAAGATATTTCAGCAACCAATTTTCAATCTCAGTTTTTACTATAAGTTTCTCCCAGAATTATATAGTAATCATCACAATAATGAAAAACTAGATTATGATTGTGTCTGTGTTATCATCATTACTCATCACTTAATGTATTTATAGTACTTTATTTTACATGTACTGTGGATTTATCAATCATGTTTTCTAACGTTAAAAAAAAGACTATTAGTTTGAGTGTAGTAAAGGTGCAGATTGTTGGCAATGACTAGATGATTTTGAGAGAGAAATTTAGATACATTTTCCTGTCTGTAGTTATGAAGCAAGTAAATGCCATGGTTACAAGAGCTTAAGAGTTTTTAAATGAGACCAGAACTGAAGCTTTCTGAATATTTGCTTCCTTATTGTACCTGGGAAGTGCTTCTCTGCTCTTCCTGATGCAGTCATTTCCTTTAACTTGTCCTGAGATTTATCTAACTTGGTTTTTATAGCAATTTTAGGTGAATAGTTCTTTGTTCTTTTTCAATATTTTCTTGATGTTATTTTGTGATTCTTTTACCTCTATTATTTTTCAAAAAGCTCTGGTTTCTGTGCTCTGGGAGCTAACTTAAAACCATTTCTTTTACATTTAGGTGTCTGATTGTGAAATCTGTTCTGTTAGGAGAATGTGAATATGTACTGAAATCTTATGACTCTTAGCTTTCCTCTTTCTCTGCCTTTTATTCACTATTCTGTTGTTTTCTTCTTGCTTTCTTCTTACTTGTTTTTAATGAGTGTAGTTTTAAGAACTAA